TATCGCTATCGCTATCGCTATCGCTATCGCTATCGTTTGCCTAATGGGTGCGTCGAGCCCATGCCAAACGTGCCTTTCTATCGTGCATTGCTTCCGTCTCCCCGGTTGTCTTTTCTTTTTCGCTTCCAAGGAACCGGATGCGATGCACCGTGCTAGCGGATGTCGTGCAGTGTAGCGTACCGTGCTTCCGCTATTTTCCAAACGAACCAAGGGATTGCGGTGCGAAAGTGCCGTGTTCTATCGTCTCGTCTCGTCTCGTGTTCAGTCGTCTCGTGTTCAGTCGTCTCGTGTTCAGTCGTCTCGTGTTCTATCGTCTCGTCTCGTGCTGCTGCTCTTCGACGGGTTTGTGTTGCTGGCCCGCACGGCAAGGCAAGGCACTGCTCGCAAACACCGACGCCCGCGGTTCGGTTCGAACCGGGGTTTTGGTGGGACGGTGTGCTGCGCTGCGCTGCTACGGTTGGCCAAACAAACCTCCCGTCGGCGTTCTTGTTTGGAAGGCTTGGATGTTGGATGCATCGCGCATCGCATGTCATCGCGTGTGGTACGTACGTACGATCGTACGATAGGGAAAAAGTACGGCACGGTGCCCCGTGCCCTTGCCCGTTTGATTTTGATTCGTTTTTCTTTGGCACGATTGGAGGGTTTGTTGTTTGTTTTGTTTTGGATGGATGCGTTCCGATTTTTCGAAATCAAACACGCACAAGGCTAGGCAACACCGTGCGATTGCAATGACCCCCACCCCCTTCCTCGACGAATTCCGCCGTGCCTTCCACGACTCGAATCCCTCTGCGGTCGTGTTGGGACGATCGGTGGTGGGTCGGGTGGAGCCGTACGAACTTGAGTACCGGTACTCGTACGTATATCATGCCACAATTGCCTTGGTTTTGGTAGCGCTTCGAGGTCGTTCGAGACGGGCCGACTCATTTGTTGTTTGCCGAACGCCACTGGGTACGTACTCGAAGTACGTACTTGGTACTAAAGTACTCGTACTTGTAAAACCGTACTACTATTTGATATTGGTTCGCGAGCCACACCATCTGGTCATCGTCTCATTCTGGGCCATAATAGTCCCTATTGTCCGAAGGCTTTTTCGGCGGCGTGAAACAGAGGAAGGCGAGGAAAAAAGACTTGCATTGCTAGCAGTGAGGAATAAAGACTAAATGATAAATGACCCACGAGGCGAGGTTGCGGGAGACATGCAATTCGTACTGGTACAAACGGTAGAAACAAGTACGAGTATGGACTCGTAGGCCCTGCCGTTCGACTCCGTCTCCCCATTACATAACGTGAATGGTTTGAAGAATGGCCGCATTTTGTACAGGTTGCAAACGGCACCGAATTTCGGGCCGGTACGTACTCGTCCTAGTGGGCACCGTACAAGTACGGTACCGTACGAAGAACGGAAGGGCTCTCTCGCCTCGGAAGAACAATCCATTCTTTGTAATAAAGTAAATTGCCTCGCGTGTGTGCGTGTCGTGAAGGATACGAGTACTGTAGTTTGTTCCGTTTCCTGCGAGCCAATTCGGTACGGTACTTGGTACTGTAGCGTTCGTACGGTACCACTGCTTCAATACAGTGCCGCAACATACCGTTTCTGGCGAACGGGACTTGACCTCTTCCCCGGGAGTGCTCGTTCCAAAGAGCAGGAACGATAGCAAGCACCCACCCGAAAGCCTTCCAAACCACACACCAAAGAACCAGGGAAGCTACCACCGGATATTTAGTGGGAGAGTCAGATAGATAGAGAGAGAGAGAGAGACAGAGAGAGAGAGAAGCACCGGCCGCCGGACACCGACACCGATCGAACCGTGGCACCGAAGCACAAAACCATCCAAAAGAAATCCAACCCAACCCAACCCAACCCAACCCAACCCACTCCACCGACAATAGCCATGGCGGCGACCCGGGAGGGACGCCGCCCGGGGGAGCAGGGCCGTCGCCGCAAGACCGGCAGCGCAAGCCACCGCAGGCAGCCGGAGCCAAGCCAGGTCCAGGGCCGCAGCCGCAGCGGGGACAGGGCGAAGCCAAAACCGAAGCCTTGCGCTCCGGAGCGAGGCGGGGGACGGAGAGACCGGCAGCCGCACAACGAAGGGGGGGGACGCGAGCGAGAACGGGAGCGAGAACGGGAGCGAGAACGAGAACGGGATCATCGACAAAACCAACGACCGCAACCACACGAACGGAGGAAGCGGAAGGGAACCAAGAAGGTCCCGGGCGGTGGCGGGAGCGGGAGCCACCATTTCGAGGCTAGCGCGAGCCGCAGCGACCACCGGGAGAGGGGGGGAACTCACACGCCGGAACGGCGGAGGAGCAGGAGCGACAAGAGCAGCACCGAGATGCGGAACAGCAGCCACAGCAGCAGGGGCAGCAGTTCCACGGCCGTTTCGGCTGCTGGCCACGACCGCAACGAACGCGAACGCGAACGCAAGCATCCAAGGGGCACCAGCACCAGCACCACCACCGCCCTTGCTTCGGCGCCCAACCCGGGAGGAATGGCGGCCATGCTGGCGGCAGCCGTAGCGGAACGGGAGGTCCGCCTTTCCAGGCACAAGGGAGAGGCCGGGGGAGCCAAGGTTTCAAGGGGGACGGCCCCCGCGGGGAGGGGAAGGACCGCCAGAGGCGGCAGCGGCACCCTCACCCCTCGGTCCGCGCCCGGGGGAGGGACGCCGACCACCACCACCACTACCATGGAGGCCATGCTGGTGGCGGCGATCGCCGAGCGGGAAAAGCGCAAATCAAGGGGATCCGGGAACGCACCGGCGACCCCGGCCTGTGTCGAAGCAGAGGGAAACGCAAAGGCAAACGCAACAACCGGCCCCCGGCCGCAGCCGACGATGGCCGACCTGATCGCCTCTGCGGCCGCAAAGCGCAAAGACCGGATCGCCGAGGCCGGGGGGGAGGACCCCGCCCTGGCCATTGGCAAAGCAAAAGCAAAACCAAAGACAAACCAAAACACGACAAAACCAAAAACAACAAGCCACGGCCCCTCCCTCGCGGAACTGGCGGCGAGGGAAGCCGGCGCACGGCGGATCCGGATCGAAGAACGGGAGGAGCAGAAGCGGCGCAAGGAGGAAGAAGAGTCCCGGGACGCTTGCCTTGGCGTTGGCGTGAATGCCGACGCCGATTTCGACGCCGACGTTCCCTTGGACGCCGACGCCGACCGCTACTACGAATACACCAGGATGGCCTTTCTGGACGACGACGACGACGACGAGAACGACGGACACCCTCCGGGGGAAGCCCCCCCGGCCATCTACAACAAGGAGACCCACAAAAAGACCTTTGTGAGCGTCGCCGAGCAGGCCGCGACCTACGGCCGGCTGGTCCGCCTCAAGGAAACCGTGGTGGAGGCGAGCGGGAACCGGGACCTATTGAGGCAGCACACGCACCCACTGGCGGAAGACACCTGGTCTGGACCCAAGCTCCGGACCGACCCGACCCTCTCGGCCGCCATGCGGGCCGTTCGGGAGGCCGCCGCGGTGGGCCGGATGAAGCGGAGGCAGAAGGGGCCGAGCGAGAGCGAAAGCGGTGCCCCGCACGACGACGACGACGGCGGTCCCGGCGGCGAATCCCCGGCCCCGGACATCGACCAGCAGCTCGACGAGCACGGCCGGAGGATCCTGCGGACGAACTTTTTGCTGGACAAGCACGTCGAGGAGGCCGCCCACGAAAAGAAGGACCGACTCTGGTCGGACTCCGACGCGATGGGGGACCGGGACGAGAAGACCGCCACCTACCAGAGCTTCGACGATGTCCACCTGCCGACCGAGGTCCTCCCGACCCTCGACAACCTTTTGGGCAAGACCAAGAGGAAGGGAGCGGCCGGGACCTACTCGACCGGGGCGGACCTGGCGTTGATCGCGATGCAAATGGGGGAGAACCACCAGAACCAGAACGACCACCCAAACGGCACGGTCAACCAGAACGACGTGGCCATGACCCCGGGCCGGCTGCGGGTCCTCGAATCCATCTCGAACGCGGTCGCCGCGAGTGCCTGGGAACGCCAGTACCGCCTGCAGCGGCCCAAGGCGGAGCTAAGGGTCACCAAGAGGTGCACCTGCCCCTACTGCAAGGACCCGAACCCCTACCAGACCCACAAGTACAAGCGCCTCATGTACCCGGACCGGTTCGACGAAGACTACGAAAAGTACTGCCTGCCCGTGCCCGAAGAGGACGAAGAGAAAGACCAGCTCGAAAACGAACACGCAAACGAAAACGAACACGGTCCACCACCGGGTCGGGATCCCGGGGTCCGCAAGAAAAAGACCATCCGCATCGTTACCCGGAGGTTGAAGAAGCGGTCCTCCTCCTCCTCGTCGCCGGGGGACGGCAGCGGGCCGAGAATCACGACGACCACGACGCGGAGGGTGATCGACGGGACCTCGCTGACGACCGAGGAACTCGGCTTTCTGACCCGGCGTCTGCAGCAGCAGGGAGGGGCGGGCCTGTCGACGGAAGAACTGATCCGGCTGGCCAAGGAACTGACCCGGAGCCACCACGCCGAGAGCCACCACGGCAACGAGAAGGGCAACGGCAACGACAACGGCAACGGCAACGAACCACACAACGAACCACACAACGAACCCCATAGCGGCCGCACGAAACACACCGGTGGCCACACCCAAGGGGCCGATCCGAAGCGGCCGCACGAACGGGCCAAGCCCGCCACCGAAGCCCCCGCTCGAGAGCAACGGGGGCGAAAACCCCACCGCCTCCGGATCAAGAACCCCCTGCGGGGCCTCTCTCGGTCCAGGCACTCCCGGTCGCCGGCCTCCCGGGACCGTGGCTCCGAGGACAACCCCGGGCAGCCCGGCCGCCGCCGCGGACGCCGCCTCGGGAGGAATCCCCTCCGGGTGCTGTCTCCCAGGGACGCTCGCGGGGGAGCATCGCGAGACCCATCGCCGCCCGCAAAGGGGGAGGGCGAAACGCCGCCGCCCCCGGCCCGGTCCAAGAGCCTTTGCTCCCCGGCGCCAGAGACCCCCCGCCGGGAGCCGCTGGACCGGGCGACCTACCACCACCCGGGCCGGGACCCCGAGGCGAAGGAGCCGGTGGCAGCGCCGGTGCCCGGTGCTTCTCCCGAAACCGTTGCCGGGGACGGAAAGATCACCTTCGACTCGGGGGTTCCCGACCCAAGGGAGTCGTCGTCCTCGAAGCACTCCCTGGGAGGGACGGCGCCGACCCAGCAGAGCCTGAGCGACAACGAGGAATTCGGCCCGGCGCCGAACGCGAACGCCACCGGCGAGCAGGGCAGCCGCGGGGAGAGCTGCCGGAGTTTTGCGTCCGCGGACCTCCCGGGGGGGACGGGGGACGAGGAGCCGCCGGAACGGCCGAAGCCCACCGCCGGGCCGAGAAACGGGGGCGAAGCGAAGACGGTGCCAGACCCAGAGAAAAAAAAGCTGCGGGGAAAGAAAAAATGGCTCTGGTAGCAGAGCAGAGCACACCGCCAATCCACTCCACGCCACTCAACACAGCGATCCCTCCCACGGAACGAAACGGGCACTTTTCCCACGACGCATGAATCATGAACCACCGGTGGAAACAAGTTTCTGCATTTCGCAAGAATCGTGAATTTTTTCCACGTTTTTGCAAAGTAAGGAAAGATGATAGACCACAGGTGTTCACCGCTGCAACTCAAAAACTATTTGGCGTTATTATAAGGTTAGAGTTAACACTCCAATTTGAACCATTTAAACCATTCGAACTAGTCAAAAATCTTTTTTAGAAACATCTTTCTGTTGAGCTTCAAGATCAATCATCGATAGCGTCTGTTGCAACACTTCTAACTGACAGCAAACGCAGCAGCAAGCGCTAGCGGAAGCACCAAGATAGAGTAAACAAGTCTCCCTTACCCATCACGATAGTAAGGAGACTTCTTACTGGTGATAGGCGGTTTCTATTGGCAAGCGTCAGCATGGAAGATAGACGAGGGAATATGTTTACTTTACTGTGTATCTCTTCTTGCTTGATCCGTAGAGGACACTAGCAAGAAGAAGCAAGATCATAGCGCTCATATTACTAGTTAGTACTACTATCATCGAAACAGCACACTTTTCACTCTTTACTACAAGCGATCGCACAAAGATAACAAGTAAATGGAAGCCATGTTCGGAATATTCAGTAATGCAGACAGCAAGAACACCCAAGAAGAAGCCAGAGGAGGTCTGGAAGCAACAGGAGACGACGACACCATTTGCGAGGAACTGTTACAAGTTCCTCCTGAATCACCACCACCACCACAACACCCAGGAGCTGGTGCACAAGCAAACAAGAACAAGGGTGAAAACGGACAGCAAGAAGATGTTGAGAGAGAGGCCCAAGTACCAGAGAATATTAATCCAGACAAGGAGAACAACAAAAAGATTGGACCCGAGAAAAAGGACAATGAGGATCTAGTACTAGACGACGATGAGGACAAGGACAATGATAGTCTTAGTAGTGGCAGCAAGAAGGCCCAAGGAGAACAGCGACTGGCGTCTGCAAAGGAAACAAAACATGATGATTGTCCAGAGCAGGAGGACAACGGCGAGGGCAACAATACTAGCACCACCACCAACAACAAGGAGACTCAAGGAGAAGTTAATGATGCTGACGGTGAGCAACAGGCAGAAGGACAGCCACCAGTGCCACCAAAGGAAGCAAAAACTACTCCTGGTAGTAGCGAAGGACAGCAGGGACTAGAAAACAGCAACCCAAAGAATAACAACAATCCCGAATCAGAAGATGAAGACAAAGAAGGAGATCCAACACCACACCGTTCTTCTCGGCTTTCTAGTACTTTGCACAAAAATAATGCAGGAAGAAAAGAGACTGCTGCTAGAACAAACAATGAAGGAGCTTCTTCTGGTAGTGCTGAGCTAAAAAGCAAGAAAGCTTCCAAAGCAAATGCTGGCAATGAATGCCGTCGTTCCAATCGACTGTCTAATTTGAACAACAACGACAACAAAGAACAAAGCAAGATGAGAGTTAACCCCATGCGATCAACGAAAAGAAAGGCTCCAGCATCATCTACTACTACAAAAACTTGCAGCAAGCGCACTCGATTCCCTTTGCCCACAGCAGCTAACAAGAAGAAATGGATTACAAAGGCAACAAGCAAGAAGAAAGACAAGGTGGGGAGGAATGCATCCAGCAATAGTACTAGAAGAAAAGTTGGGACAAAGCCCACTTCTATAGCTTGTGTGAAGGACCGCACTGTTCGTGCTAAGGTTGTACTGATTGCAAAGCACATGGCACAGTTGCAGGAAACAACCACTTGGGAGGATAACTTTGACCGTCAAGAGAATCCAAATTGCAGCATTTCATGTTTGCGTATGATGAGATGGTGAAGAAACCACATAATGCCAGGAATGGCAGGCGTAGAAGACAAGATGGTCCTATTTGTGTCTTTCTTTGTCCAGAGGACTGTAAATACAAAGAACTTGGTCACACATTGAAGACTATCGGAGAGGAGATTGTATCAAACACTGGCAATGGATATGCAATTACTCGTGACCCAGAAGAATATCGCGAACTGTTGTTTGGTCAAGTTGAGAAGAAGTCAAAGAAGTAAATTATGTAACTGTAAACTAGTAGTATTATGTTTTTGAGGAACTACAACTTGTGTTTCTAGTATTGTGAGCAGAAAATGACCATGCAAGAAGAGACAGTAGACGTCATTGAGAGTGATAGTAGCATTTGTCAGCAACGCTTGTTGTCACACTTGTTAGTTGATGTGCTCGTATGAAAGGCGTTGAAGGGTGACCGCCATGACCTGGACAATGACCTGGACAATGACGGCAACCATCATTTACAATCCAATATACTGCTCTAATCCTCACTTGACTGGTGAAAAGACTGGATCAGTTGCCCAATGGAATTGTATTCCTCTATTGAAAACTTGAATATCAAGTGCTCCAATCCAGAACTGAAGTCCCCTGTGATTCTCATCCTTCCAAACATATGATTTCTGTTTGCACTAGAAACTTGACGGAAGTCAAAAAAGAAGGTTGTACTTTTCAAGTCAATGACAAATAAAGGTTGTTGTGGCATTGGATCATTTTGAAAGATGTAACGACTCTGTCCTTGAGCATAAAAAATCCTCATGATGCAGTCTCCATCTATACAAAGGAACACTTCATGTGTTAATCGCACAGGACTAACCCCATCAAGGTGGTCTCAAAAACACTTCGCACAATAAAAGCATTTGATATTGGAAAACTGCTGGTTGGATTTTCTACTTGTAACAACTTATGTTGCAAATAAAATGATCCGAAGAAGTGTTCGAAGATGAAAATTTGGATGCTGTTCAAAAATTAGATGGAGTCGAAGTATACCGGCCAAAATTTTGGCTCATTCAAATATTGCTGCTCTCAACCCAACAATAAGTCTGCAAGCTTCTGCATACAAGCAAGAGCAGTCACAAAACAAATTCACAATCCCACAAACTGCTAAGGTAGGGATTTTGACTTGCAAATGCCTAAATATGAATTCATTCCCACCTCCTAAATTTATCTACGATGAGAGCGAAGCTGTCAAAATTGTGTTGACCAACTTCAGTGGTGAAATTATTGCAAGAGACATCATTGGATTGAAACGTTATGTAGACTGTTCTATTCCAGACAAAACTACTGGTTCTAAAGGAAAGATACCAGTCCACGGTGGTACTATTGCCAGTTTTGAGAAAGGGTCAAGTGATGTTCTGCCAGAAGAAGACAATGACGGCGTCGAAGTACTACATGCATCCTCCAATGCGCACAAAGGAGGCAATGGTGGTGAAACCAATTCTCTGTCACCACCAACTGATAGATCACGCAATCTTTTGGAGGATAGTAGTAGTGAGGGAACTACCATCAGCGATGAAAGTACTGTTCATGAGCTGAAGATTGCAACTCGCCGCGGTCTCAATATCTCTGTTGCTCTAGATGGTGACGTTGAGTATGAACCGGAGCTATTGCAGCAAGTTCGCTATTGGTAGCATTTGGTAGTTTCAATAGTAGTGAATATTYTAATGTCTAAACGTGATTGGTTACAAAGCAACCTCCATTGAATACCTCATCTGATGTTGTTAGTAGGAGAGGTGTGCCACCAATGATGTAAAGGTCTGCTATTCTTTGTTTATGAATCCGCAACTGAGAGTGACGATGACGGCATTTGTGAGTGGGCATGCGTTGATTTTTCAACGGAGTAGAACAAAAGTATTCCTTCCAGTACTCTAAAGATGTAGTAGTAGAACTGTACGTGATCTTTACTCAGGTTTTGCTGTGACTGAAAATTTTGCAGACATGGTTACTCTTTAGCAGACAAATAATGGACAAAAATACCTCCATTGCACATCTTATTATCAATTGATCATGAAGTTCCCCACATGTTTGAAAGGATTCCTCAGGTTTTGGCGGAGATGCACAACAGAATACTTCCTGTAACGTGAGGCAGATCAGTTGTTAATGCATGATCAATTGTGTCGCGGAGCACGGAGCGGAGTGCTCCACTCCATTACGGAATGTGTTGTTACGGAATGCAGTGGGTTTGATGTGGTTGCCACTGGCCCCACCCAACAGCGCCACGGAAAATGGTTGTCGTGATCGTAGTTAGAAAAGCTCTCCTCTATCCAATTGCTCCGTCATGTTCCTCTCTCCATTCAAGAGAAAGAAGAAGCCTTTGAAGAAGAATGTGTTCAAGATCTTGCCCCCTAAAAGGAAGGAATTGGTTGATATAATCCTGAAGACGTATTCATCTAGGATAAAGAACCCGATGAGACTGCCAATCGCAATTCGGATGAATGATTACAAGAATTTAGAGGTCAACTGGCTGCGTGAACTTGTAGGACAAGGAGGATCTGATTTGGCACTGGAGGATTTGTTACCTTTGCACGTCTCCTCCATCAGGATCAGTTAACTCATTGAAGTGAACTTGGCCTCCTATTTCATTAGCAATCATCTCTACTCTTTCAATGGGCTTTATATTATCACCATCCATGCTTCTATTATCTCCTCTATGCTGGAAACTGAGCTGTACATAAGAAGCAACAACGTCTCTCTTTATATCATCCAGCAACAAGCCAGATGCTTCCATTGCTGGCCCAAAGCAAGCCCAGAGCAAAGCCTTGCCAAGAATTGCTGCAACTCGATCACCAAAGACATTTGCTGTTGCTGGTGTTACTGCAGAGATGATCCACTGGTCTGTTACCCCAGTTCCCTCAACTGGTTTGTAGTAACAGACGCCTCCAAAGCAAAGCCTCGATGCAACATGAATATCAGGCCAAGCCAGCTGGGTGTCAGTGTATCTATCTTGCTGGCGCCTAGATTTCCATCTTGCTCTGTAATCAACTTCATCCCTTGTACAAGCATACTGTCTTGCATACGTTGTTGCAGACTTCCTAATGGAATGGGTTCCCAGCTTCCCTTCTGAAGTAGGTCTTTCAGCAACAAAGACCTCATTATTAAAGGAATAGCGCTTCATAAAATTAGAATAGCTATTCTTCCCCATGTTAACTTATTTGTCCATAGCAGCAACAGTCAATCTCCTATCAGTAACACCTTCAGTGAACAACCACTGACTAGACGATCCAGCACCTGAGCGACACCATTTCTACAGGAATAAAGCAAGAGCAAGCACCACACAAGATCTGTGGTCCATGGATCCAAGAAAAATCTGTCTTGGGCAATCACGTTCCTCTCTAACATTCTTCGACCAGATCATCTTAGCTGTGAGGAACCTTGGGAATTCAGTGGATACTTCCAAGCTGCTTTTAGCTACATGTGCTGTATCATCGTTTTGGCCAATCAGATGGTACTGGAATTTAATCATAGCTAGATATCTAAATTGATTGATTAGGGTCCCATTGCGTCCCATTAAATCGACCGTCTGCAAGAACTCATTCTTTGTTAGGGGCCTGTCCATACTGCTCTCCATTCCAAGTCCTCTTGTTTCCTTCTTGATAACAGCCGCGATTAGATCATTAACTTCCTGCGACTTTGTAGGATTGCCACTTGCAACGCCASCAACAACAGTCCACTTATGTAGCTTGTTAGGCATGAAATAGGAGATGGCCTTCTTGTAGTAGACCAATGAAGAAGATCTTCCCTCAGTAGGATTATCTTCGACATCTGGATTGTCGCGGCCATAGACTTTCTTTGCAAAGAACTTGTAGATATCCCTGGGCTTTAGATGGCTCAGCTCCTCATGTGTAAAGGGTTGGGGTTGGGGTTGGGGTTGCAGAAATGACTAAGACTGGATTCAAAACTCACGCAACCAATTTTTATTGGATAATAATGAGTCATGCGACGGATTTTCATTCTTGGATTCTGGTCTAGATTTAGACTTTCTGTAAGGCCGGGGGGGGGGCTTACAGAAAGTCTAAAAAATGAGACTAGATGGTCTATTTTTCGTCTGTTCGTCTTCCAAAAAGTAGACCGTCTAGACTAACGGGAATGACCCATTAAGCCGATCATTCTGGGATAGCTTTTTGGTTCGTGTCCTTTCGATAGAAACTCGTACTTAAACCAACAATCAATCCGATCATTCTGGGATAGCTTT